ATTAAACATGCAGCAGCCATATCCAGCTACGCTTTTGAGGCTTCGTTCAGTTGGCAGGCACAGGCTTGTCACTTCTGGTTTACCTCCAGGCCGCTGAGTGGTCAGCCGTCACATTTCTAAGCAGCTGAACACCTTCTAACCCAGTGATTCCCAAATTGTACACAAGGGCACTTTAGCATGCTGCACAAGAGGCTGAAAAACAAGCACCACACAAAATTAAGAGCTTGATTTGAGTCCAGTAGCGCCTTCGAGACCAACAAGGTTTTCAGGTATAAAGCCCTGAACTGGATAGCCCAGGCAAGTCTAATCTTGTCAGAACTCGGAAGACCCTGGCAAGTACTCAGCGGACCTCCAAGGAATACCAGGGCTGAGACACAGAGGCAGGCAATAGTAAGCCACCTCTCTGAAAAGTCCAAGCCCCACTTTTGTTGTTGTTCAGTCGCACAGTCGAGTCCGACTCTTCGCGATCCCATAGACCACATCACGCCAGGCCCTCCTGTCTTCCGCTGTCCTCCAGAGTTTGCTTAATTTCATGTTCGTCGCATCGATACCAAGCCCCAGAAGTCAACCATGACTTCCAGGCATACACACACACACAAAATACTCACCCCAAAAAGGTTTTCAGGTATAAGCTTTCAAAAGACAGAGGGAGTTTTGACTTTTGAAAGCTTATATCCTGAAATTCTTGTTGGTCTCCAAGGTGTTACTGGGCTGATGTCTAGCTCTTCTATACAGATCAACATGGCTACCCTCCTGAAACTTACCTTCATGAAAAATTAAGCCACTGCTAGATGCATCCATTTCTCTATACCTACAATAGTAAGGCCTTCGGGGTAGGGCGGGATACAAATCTAAGGATTAAATAAATAAATAAATAAATAAAGGCCTGATCCAGCACTGGGTTGCCATCTGCCCTTGCTGAGCCAAGATGAACCCATCTACTGCCAGATGATCTTTCAACTGGAGATGCCAGGGACTGAACCTGGGACCTTCTGCATGCCAAGCAGGTGCTCTATCACTGAGCCACAGTCCCTCCCCAAGTCACACACACACCCTTCTCCTTTCCAGCCTGCCAGGCTCAAGCTGTCAAAATACCTCACTTTGGGAGCAGAGCGGAGAACCTGCCCCACCCTCAATACCAACCCATGGAGGGCAGCAGGAGAGGCTGGGACCTCACAAGCCACGAGGGAGTAAGGATGCCTGATGGATACATGGGAGGGGGGAATCCCAGAAGGAACTCCAGGACCCAGAACCATTTCTGAGACATTAGCAAAAGGGGACAGTGCATGAACTAGGAGTGACTATCCACTGGATTACTCAGCAATTGCAGAGACTGAAATTCTGATCCAGAAAAAACACTGTGCCCCAGATAGCAAACATTTTGGAAATACTGTTTTAACCGGTAACTATTAAGAATCCACTAGAACCAAGTTAGCACTACCTGACTGATGGCTGTATACACACTCGTTCTCCCTCCTTGTGCAGTCTTAAGGACCTGCCTGTTTACCCCCCCCCCCCCCGGTCTGGAATGCTTTTATCACATAAAGAACCAAGTCAATATATTGAAGTCTCATGCGTCTCTCTTAGCATAACGCCACAAGTGACTTTTTTGTCTGCGGGGGGACGGGGGGACGTGTACTTTCCCATGATCATATTAAGTGCAAGGCAGTGACAACCCATCACATTTGATCACATTATTACATGAACAGGGCTACTGTGTCATGCACAGATCTTATATGTAACTTGTATGCAGAAAGGCACCTGTGCACGTTTCCCTAGAAAAGCGACATATAAGGTTTCTAAATAAGTAAAAGACATGATAAAAGGGCCACACAGAAATTCTTCCACCCCAGATATTAGACACAGCAACCATGCCCAACCAAACTTTTGAGAATTCACTTTCTGGCTACTCCTTGACCACATGAGTGAAGAATACAAGTGGGCTCAACATCACCTATGATGCTCTATGGTTCCCAGCCTTTTGGGCACAGCAACCCACTAATCAAGATTTGCTTGGTAGACGACCCGTCCACGGTTGGCCTAAGTTTTTTTTTTTGAGCCCTTGGTAAACTATGACCTTGTTGCCGTCAAGTCACAGCTGATTTATGATGACCCAAAGGGTTTTCAAGGCTGCATCATGACCTTGGTATTCCTGGTGGTCTCCCATCCAAATACCAGGACTGACCTTGCTTAACTTCCGAGATTGGGCTAGCCTGGGCTATCCGGGTCAGGGCAAACGATGACCTTGACACATACCTAACCCAGCATTCAATTTCCTACACAGGCCAACCAGGTATTTCCGAGAAGCCAACAAACACTGGGCAAAGGCTGCAGTGGCCCCATGATGAACCCCAAACAAGTGACATTCCAACATACACAGCCTTTGCACACGGAGGTTACATTCCACCCTGGCCTCCTCCATTATTCCTTCTAATCCCCCCCAAAAAAAAAAAATTAAAAGAAACACACTCTAGTAACCACCAGGATACTTGATTCTTTATGAATCAACATGCATATGCTGTGAACAAAAAGCCTCCAGAAAGAGGCTAGAGCAGCTATTAGGGAGGGCCGGCCTCTGATTCACTTTCAAAGGCTTTTGGGTCCCAACCCCCAGGCTGGGAAATGCTTGTACTGACATAACGTTTGACATTCCATGAGTTCTAACTGCTCTGGCATGGCTTCCAGCCCTAACCGGAGCCATGCCATATACTTATTGGGAACTTCACCTCCCCTTTGTACACGTTCTCAGCACTGAGGTCCCAAAGGCTGGTGGATGATGGGGAGTTTCTCATCGTTGCAGGATTTTCTTTGTAGATTCCTTAAAAGTTGCCATTTTGTCCACAGTCTAGGTTAACTCACGAGGTTGCTAGGAATTACTGTACGGAGACATGGCATGCTATTAGTATGTCCATGACAAAGCCGTTTTCTCCATCCTCTTCATTAACTGTATGACATGGAGACAGAAAAAGAGGCAAACTCGTTTAAGGCGTCAGGCTTTGGGGCAGCGGAAGGGGATGGAGCTAGACCAAGAGCCAGGAGGAATATCGAGTAGGTGGATGGAACCAATCCTCCAAGTTTTGGCCATGTTACTGAGGGATGCTACTTAAGTTAGGGCACTTCTGCCCAATTCCAAACACTAGAAAGGGAAGGTTGAACAGTATTCAGACTGTGAACAGACCTCTCACCTTAGCTCTCCAAAACCTTCAAGCACACAATACCACCTTATAAATTGTTGCTGCACTACAGTGAGGGTTAGAAGCTAGGAACCCAGACACTAAGTGGTAAAACTCAAAGCCCTTTCCGCTACCTGAAAGTTAAACCAGCCCTGTCCATCATCCAAGGAAATGGTAAAAGAGCATAAGGGGAACCGTGATTTTCAAGTTAAGTAGTTTTATTATCAAAATTATTACATCTCTTGTGAAAGTTCAAATGTTACAGCACAGTGTACAACTCCACTTGAGGGCAGTGCTGCAGCCCCCTCCTGCCCCCCCCGCCCCCGTTCCTGGTGGCTCCTTGCCAGCATCTTGCAACAGGCAGGAGTGCTTCATCTTTGCCTGCTGGCTCTCCAAAATCTCTTGCAATCGCTCACTTCACAAGACACGCTTCAGCGTTAACTGAAAGGGAGGCCGCAAAGCCCAGTGAAGTTGACACCCTTTTTATACAGTATATAGGACACCCGCTTTCTGGGTGACAAGTTCCATCCCCAACACGCTCACAGCCAGACACTTTTGAGGAAAGGGTATATTTGTTTTCTTCTTCTCTGCTTTGATAATTTTTAAAAGTCTCCCCCTACGTTGAATGAACACCTGATTTCATTTGTGAGTTAGAGGAACCTGTAACAGTCCTAATTTTTTTTAATTAAAAAAAAAAAACCAAAAAAGGAAACCAAAGAGAGACTGTGCATTTGTGAAACGAGGGAAGACACGCTCACAGCATTATCTTGTCCGAGAGAAAAAGGAGAAGTCCATGGCAGCACCGGGGGGTGGGGTGGGGGTTAGACCTGCCTGATATCCGCTAACCTACTATGGTTATAACTGAATATAAAATTAGATAAATAAAAACACACGCTTGATAGTACAGTAAACAAGTGAGAAAAGCTGGCAACTGCATGGAATTGGACTGACAGAGCATCCAGGGGGCCTGGCACTGCTGCTCCTGGACCTCAGGGGGCAGTCACGGGCCTCCTTCCCTCCCTCCCTCTTGTGCACTCAGGGATACTTTCGGTAACAGCACCACCACCACCACCACCACCACTGCCGCCGCCAGATGGGGCACCTTCCTCACCCATCCTTCACACACACTGTGATCAAGCAAGCCACCAGGCTCCCACCACCACAGCACTGCCTGTTCCAGTGCTACGGCCCCACTGGCAGTGTAGCGGACAATGTCCGCCCTGGGCCCTCCTGCAGCCACACATTAGCACACTTTTGCTGTTCTCAGAGTGACTTCGCGGCCACATCTGTGCACAGGCCCCTGCCCCTCCGTTTTTTGCCACACACACACACACACCCTGTGTGCCACCGGGCCCCACCCCACAGCTCTTCTGCTCAGACCCTATGAATGCTCTTGCTTGCAACTGGAATGATCAGAATGGACTACAACCCCCCCCCCCCCCTGCCCCAGGATATTCTGGGAACCCAACCCTGCAGAGAGCACTTTGGGATTTAGATGAACGCCCCCCTCCCCCCCATTTCCCCCTCCCACTATTTTCTTCTGATTTGCACTGGTTTCATATTCAAGCTTTCCTACCTGCTGCCCAGATGACTACAGCTACGGGCACACAGGCAGAAGAAAGAGGCCATGCCACTCAGCACCATTAGCTTTCTACAACGTACCCAGACATCAGGGGGAGATGCTCCTTTGCTACAGGCTCTGCCGCTGCCACCACGGCCACCGGCACCTCCCCCTTCCACGGCCAGAGGCAGCTTGCAGTCCTCTCTCTTGCTTGTACTCCCCCACCCCACCCCACCCAGAGCCCCCAGCACCTGGCCCTTTGCCGTTCCAGCATCACTCCCCCACAAGCTGCTGCTGGAAGGAATGGTAGGCTAATTTCTGTTCTGCCCTAAGAAAGGCCCGTCTGCGTCTTCACCCCTGACCCGGGGAGTCTGTATGGATGGATGCTGCCTCCTCCCCCTCGGTGTGAGTAGTGCTGTGAGTTGGAAAGTGCTGCCGCTCTGGAGCTCTGATAGAGAGCCGTTTGCCCAGAACTGGGAGGGTTGATAGTCCGCAAGTCCGACTGAGAGGGCCTAGACGAAGAAGTGCAGCCGGCAGTTCCCGCACAGGGGTGAGACCCTGGTTCGGAGGGGGGCAAACAGTCTGCAGCGGCGGTCTGGGCAGAACTCGGAGTAGCTGCTGCTGGACAGCCCTTCTTCAGGACGCCACCGCTAGAGTGCTGCTGGCTGCTGTAATACCCAGAATTCCCTGTAAACAGAGCTGAGGAGTCCGTGGAGACTGAGGGGGTGGAGGAAGTGGAGGATTCCGAGGAACCGTGAGAAGGAAGGTGTCCTGTTCTCTGCGACTGAGACCGGTAACTGTACCCAGGTGATGCAATGGGATGTCCTCGGTAAGGGGAGGAGCTCTGGAGGAGAGCCTGAGACTCCGCTCGGGGGCTATCGGATTGCAAGAGCTGAAAAGGAAGAGAGACAGAAGCCACAAATCAATACGGCTCCATCAGACACTCCCCCCCCCCCCCCCCACCCCTTCTTTTTGAGACAGGATGCATGGCCTCGGAACCAGAGACAGCAAACTGCAAGCAGACCGTGACATATAGGGGACCTGGCCTCCCATACCTGGTAGCTATACCGAGAAGGACTGTAAACAGCTGGTCCCTTGAGGGCAGAGCCGAGGGAGTCGGTTGTTTCGGCTTCCACTGTATCTAGAAGGCAGGACAGGCAGACACATGAGAAAAGCATGGTCCTGGAACAGGAGGGAAAGTGTACTAAAGCCAGGATAAAGGGAGAGACACCCAACCCCCCCAAAAGTGAGTCAAGAAGACCAGGAACCCTAAGGCTGAAAAACAGTGTCTTCCCTGAACATTTCTGTTTTGCACTTTCTTCAAAATGCTAGAGGGCAGGATGGGGTGACCACCTCAGGCAGGCCGTTCCACAAGGTGAGGGACCACATCAGAGAAATGTGTGTGAATGGGCAGTTGGCTGATCGTACCTATTTGCAGTGTGGCACCTTCTGAAGGCTTTGCTCAGGCTTGCCTCCACAGCATGGCTTAAGTGATGTGATGCAAGCCTGCTCAGAACTGGGGCTAGCACCAACCCTCCACGGGGAAGCCAGCAGACTTTGTCTTCCCAAGGACAGCCGCTAACAGCGATCCGATCAGACCGAGAAGGAAAAAAGGTCTTTCCAACGCGGTGGTAAGAAAGGAACTGGCGGGATGTCCGCACCCACCCCCTCTGGGCATGCACGGTGGGGTTCCTGCGCATACCCTGGGGGCTGGGGGCGAAAATCCGTTAAAAGAGCTTGCTACAGCACCGATTGATCCAGCGTGTGCACACTGAATCCCACTGGTGTGAAGCACAGAGACCACGACGAAGATCTGGGGCTTCCTAAGAAACTGACAGCCCTGAGCACCAACCCTCCACAGGGAAGCCAGCAGACTTTGTCTTCCCAAGGACAGCCACTCACTTGCCACAGCCCCCGGGGCATTCCCACTTACCTGCTTCTCTCTCCCCTAGGCTTTCGCGGGTGGGTGAAGGCTCCCCTCTCTGACATATCTTGGCGCTGCTACGTAAAACCTTTTCCAGAATGCCACGGCCTTCGCGGAGCCGCTCCACCGAGGTAGGCACCATCCTACAACAGGGTAAGGATGGGAATGAAGCAGAGGACAGTGACCTGATCTCCTCCCCTGCCTTACGAATACAAGAAGGCTCCATTTCTAAGGCCCTTCAAACACCCGCAGCAGCAAAGCAACAAATTCCAGAAGGCTTCTTCTAGTCTGGAGGGGACTGTCCCTATTTCTTTCCACGGAGAGCATACATATTCTACGGTTGTACAATATAAACCTTACTAAGATTTGGGCACAGGCTACTTTTTGCACCCTAGCTACTGTCTGAGAGACAAACTGCCTTGTTTATTTTTAGGGCAGAACAGGGCGCCGGCCTCTTAACTAGGTGGAGATTTCCTAGAAGTGAACAGAAAATGCATCAAAAGGGTAGCACCACAGCCAACCTCTAGCCATTACTGGGAGAACAGATGGCAATTACCCTGAAATAAAGGTCCCAGCATGTGCACAAGCTCCTGTCAATGGCACTCATGTGAGGCCCGTCCAACTAAATCACAGCCCACCTTGATGAACTAAATTCTTGGAAACGGTTCTAGTTGCGGGGGGGGCATACAAGGTGGCCTCAAGTTCACATACAAGCAGTAGGGGCAGAAACACAAAAGGTTCTGCAACTGAAATTCACCACAATCTGCTCACCAAGGCAATTTCAAATTAGAAATGACTTATTTCTTACATCTTATTAGGTACAATACAGATTCTGCAGTTGACAAATTAAAGCTCACTGAGGTGACTTCATGCTACAGTGATAAAACAGGAACAAACGTGACTTGCTTCTCACGGTTCCTGCGGCAATGATGGAGACGCAGCTTGCAGAGCATTCTGCACACATTAGAAATGTTATGCTACTTATGAAAACATGGTTTCAGTACAGACGGAGAATTACATTTCTGATCCAACTGACCAACCCATGGCTTGATCTTAGCGTTTGGTACTTCCGAGCCTACTCGTGTGGCAGAATTCCACATTTCATCAGCAGGATTATGTGCTTCATCCTTCCCCCACACTGAATTTCCATCATCAGCCTTTAAAAATTGGACAAACTGGACATAGGCCCATATCCCACTGAAGTGAGGGGGGGGGGAGAGAAAGGGCAGAGTTCACAGCTCACAGAGGTAAGCAAGGATGTGGGAGGGGTGAATTGCACACCATCACGGCTGCTACTGTTTGGCTGGAGAAACAGTTCTCTTGCAAGAGGGTTAACAGGGTAGCAGCACTTCTGTTTAGCCTGTTAGGGTAGTTTCGTGACAACTGAACAAGACAGACTTTTAAAAAAATCAACATTGTGGGTAGATAGTGCAGAATGTAGCAGAGTTCTGGATGCTCCTGTTTTAACTATGCCATGCAACCTGAAGTTCCCAGTACACAGTGTGTGGAGTAGTAAAGATCAGTTAGTTAAATGGAATGGAGGTGGGGAGAAGCCCGCAGGATGGAACTTAAATACAAATGCTTAGTACTCCAACCCCAACTTCCTCAAAAATGCTCACTGGACAGGAGAGACAAAACGCTTGACCAACGTCTTATCACAGAGATCGCAGCAACCTGTTAAATTTGCAAGCAGCACAGCCTTTAGAACGGAGGAACTCTCAGGAACAGAAGATGGCTTTTCCCCTCCAGAGACTCAGATGCAGGGCTAAATGCTCACCATCTACTGCTGATGCTCTCCTGGGATTTGCTGTGTGTGGTCCCCCTTGGTTCAGGTGGGCTGACATCCTCTAGATGAGACAGGGAGGAATGTGAGGGGGAGAAGCTGTGTTGTGGCGAGGACAGAGCTCGGCTCCCGGGGCCTTGCACGACACCAGCATCCACATCGGCTCCAGAGCAGCTGCTACCCAGCCGAGTTGGTGTCCCCGTGCATCGAATAGAATCCCCGCCTTCCTTGGCTTCTTGCTTTCGTTTGCGGTACTCCAGCAGAGATACCTACAAGAGGGCAAAAAAACACCTTCAGCCTAGCAGAGTCAGAGCAAGGAATAGCTGACAAGTCAAGAGACTGGATACAGTGGGTCCCCCCCCCCAGTCATTCACAGAGCGGGGGATACATTCCCCACCCTCACCCCCACTATGAGAAACTGGACTGATTCATGAATTAAAAGAGAGCATCCCTCCCAAAGTACTCTGCATATTGTACAATTCTTGGGCTTTCTACGCAAGCAAGAAATAGGCTCTGAGCCCGGGATGAGCAAAAACCAGTAAGCCTGATGAGGCTGTAACTTGACGGCACTCTCCGCCACAAATGCCTCTTTGGCCAGTTTGGTGTAGTGGTTAAGTGCGCGGACTCTAATCTGGGAGAACCAGGTTTGATTCCCCACTCCTCCACTTGCACCTGGCTGGATGACCTTGGGCAAGCTGTAATTCTGATAAGTGCTGTTCTTGGGAAAAGAGCAGTTTCTGTCAGAGCTCTCAGCCCCACCCACCTCACAGGGTGTCTGTTGTGGGGAGGGGAAAGGAAAGGAGTTTGTAAGCCACTCTGAGACACCTTTGGGTAGTGAAGGGCGGGGTATAAATCCAATCTCTTCTCTTCTTCTTCTTAAGGCAAGGCACTAACCACTACATTCCTTTTGAGCCAAGAGGCAACAGTACATCTACTTTCCTCCTGTCCCTAACCTGAGAGATGTCTCAAGCAGCTCTGCCTATCCAGTTGGGGGTAGGAACTACAAGTTTCTCAGCTTCTTAAAGCTGCATCCTCTCATACTGAGTTTCTCCTCGTGCACCTTGAGGACCCCTCTGGACCATTTCACTTATCCTGGATACTTGCCTTCTTCCTCTGTGGTGGGTTCTGCGGGGTGGATTTTTCACAAGCCCTCTCGCCACAGGGGGCCATGGATCCATGTGCTGCCTCTTTAAGAAGTGCCTGCTCGTGTCTGCCGAAATACCCCTCCTCTGCAGGAGAACTGCAGCAACCCCTCTCTGGATTGAGAGGCTTCCCATCAGCCATCTGGGGAGATTCTCGTAACAATCCGTCCGCCCGGGGCATGGCATTCAAAGGGGAGAAGGCGTACATTAAGTTAAACTCTGTCCGGAAAGCTTGGTCAGAGCTCCTTAGCAGCGTCTGGGCTTCCCCACTCTTCCCAGGGAAGCTGGTCTCTGAAGGCTGGGAGGCTGGATCCGAATGCCCTGGAGGGAGCAGCGGCGGTCTCTCTGGGCAGCTGTTGGCGCTGGCTTCTAGGTATCCCGGCTTCGTCATGTCAAGGTCCGCCCTGAGACAGAGCTAGAATAGCCAAGAAGGGTATTGGGGGGAAGGGAGAGGACATTGAACAGGGCAGAGGACCGGGTGAAAGGGGCAGACAGAGAAATCCTTTAAGTCAGGAAAGACCCCCTTTCCCCAAAGACAGCACACACTGCTCCTCACATCTTCCCACCCCCCACCCCCCCGCACCCCACTGCAGCCCCTTCCTGTCTTGCTTGGCTCTTCTCCCTGCTTGTTGTTCTAGCTACACAGCTGGCTTTCTTCCTCTAATGCTGCAGACTTTCTGGAGGCAACTTAGATGAGAAGGCCCCCCCCTCCCCTCCCTTCTGGATGGATGTTGCTGGTGCTCAAAACGAACACCGGTGTATTTTCATAGTCACCATTTAACATATAATGTCACAACCATTTCAATAAAAGGTGAAGAATCAACAACAAAAAAAAAGGTTAAAGGCAAGCAAGGACACCACACACCAAGTACTCTTGTTAGCCAGCCAAACACTTCATAAAACTACTGCAGTCACACAGGGCACTCTCTCTCCCTCACTGCACAACAGCTGGAAATCACTTCTCTTAAGAAATGGATCAACGAGTCCTCATGGTCCAGTTTACTAAGTAGTGCAGGAGCTCTGTGTGTGTGTGTGTGTGTGTGTTTGTGTATTATTACAAGAGAATGTTTTCAGCACATATGCACAAGGGCAAGGAGAGGAGATGGGTGGGATGTTTTTCATTCTATGCAGGTGGTGCTTTTTGCCTCATGGGCTGCTCACTACCCTTCTTGTTGTGTCCAGCACCTGGGCTCTGCATACATGCTACCATCCTAAGAACATAAAAAACATGCCTGCTGGATGAGGCCAACTTGTCCATCTTGTCCACCATTCTCTCTCTCCTACAGTGGCCAACCAGATGCCTCCAGGGAGCCCAAGCAGGCCAAGAGGACGGCAGCCCTTTTCTCCTGCCATCTCCCAGCAATTGGCATTCAGAAGGGCACTGCAGCCCGTATCCTAACACACTGCTCAGTCAGACTGGCAGTGGCTCTCCAGGGTCTCAGGCAGAGGTCTTTCACATCACCTACTGCCAGATCTTTTAACTGGAGATACTGGGGATTGAACCTGAGACCTTCTCCAGCTGAAGGATCCTCCTTCCAACTTAACTGATTCTTCCTCTGGCGAGAAGAGTCCTGTAAGTTGGAGGAAGACAACAAAATCCGCTGAGTGGAGTGGAATGGTACAGGCCACCGCCCCTAAACCTGGGAGGTTCCACTTAGCCATTATGGCTAGTAGCTGCTGACAGACCTATTTTCCATGAGGTTGTCTAGTTGTCCTTTGAAGCTATCTAAGCTTGTAGCATTCTGTCAAAAATTAATTATGCACTGTGTGAAACAATTCTGTTTTACCAGCTCTGAGTCTTTCGCAAAATTTCACTGGACTGACAGTTCCAGTTTCATGGGAAGGGCGGGGGGAATCCTCCACAGGGTGCTCGACACCACACATAATTTTATACACTGCTGGGGGAACAGTCGTGGGTCATGGGGTACTAGATTAGTACTAGGTACTCATGAGTACAGCGTGGGGGTCATCTAGGAGCATTGCCTGTTTTCACTGATTTGATTAGGTAGCTTGCAAACAAATGGCTGGATCCGGCAGAAAATTTCCACTAAGGAAGGGGGTGTGATTTTCGCCAATTCCCCCCTTCCCTTTGCAGACCTCCAACTGCCCCCCCATGCTGTTCCTGCAGACCGGATACCCAGGAGCAACACTCCAGGAGTCATTCGGTTGCAGTGGGGAGGCTGCTTCTCTCAGCAAAGACCTTCCACAGGATCCAAGCCAGTTTACGCAGCTACAATTAATGAAGTCGGGGGACCGGGGGGGGGGAGAGAAGCTGTGAATTTCCTGCATTGTTCAAGGGTTGGACTAGATGACCCTTAGGGTGCCTTCCACCCCTCTGTGTTTCTAAGCACTTGTCCTTTTCCAAACTAACCTCCTCTGGACAGTGAATCTATGTGGTTTTCAAAACCTTTATATCTTAGACTCCCCCCCCCCCCCAATATATAAATTTGTACCACAGGCACATAGTGTGTGGCTGACTAATCAATCACACTATGGCAACGAAGCTACCTGAAAGGCCTTTGTCAGCATCTTGCAGCTCTCAGCTTTTAACGTATGCGTTTTTCCAATGACAATGACAGGGCAGCATGGTCAAGGCTGCATCCAGACTTATGCCTTGCGAGTCCAGTAGGAACGTCCCTCCTCCACTCACTACTATGCTACTTTGTGGGGGGGTTATTTTTTTAAAAAAATGACTTCTAGTGCTCTGGAAGATTCCAGCACTTTGAGCGTCCAGCATACCTAGAAGAGTAACTACTATCCCTCCTCTCCTCTTTGAAACATTCGTGCTCAGGCCTATCAGCCTTCTGTGGATTGTAAAAAGAATTTGCTATCTGGTGTACTATTTTAACGGCATTTCTGGTAACCCTAAGCGTCTACCACTTAACGACTCAGAAGTATGGAATCCTGTAAGCGGTTGCTGCAAAAGAAAAAAGAAAAAGAAATGCCCTGTGTGACTTCAGCACCTGAAGGCCACGTGGCCCAGGCCCTTTCCCTCTTGGCCTCCTATCATGTAACTCATTCATGCCTTTATCTTATGAAAATGTGTCCACTGCTTTTTCCATGGAATCTATGCCCAGTGTGGTCATAAGCCATCACAGAAATGGGGAAAAAACTCTGACTTGACACAAGGAAGAAGAGTATCTATATCGATCATATGCCCCAAATCATCTTCCCCATTGCTGTCCTCCTAAAGCCCCTGTACAACTTGCCTCAAACACTGAACGCTGCAAAAAACGAAAAGGTCAGATTTCCCATTTCACTTATTGATTTGACATCATTCATCTGAACACAGAATTTGTATCTTGAAGAATGTGGACTTTTGACACAGCAGGCGCTGGGCAGTCTATTTTTTTGCACAGGAACAAGGAGAAGGGTCTGGCCTGAACCGAAGATATACAAGCTCCTGGCCGGCCAACAATTAAGTGACTGGAGTTTTGATACCTGAGCTCACACTGGTTCAGTTTTTCTCTCCTTCCCCTTTCAGAAGGGTCACCTGACAAGATCTTTAATTTTCCACTCAATCTTCTTGACTATGGCTCCAAAGGAATCTGACTTGACTAGGCTCTCCCTCCCTCCCTCCCTCATCTACTTTTACTCTCCTCTGTAGCTCCCGCCACCCCCCCTCCCTCCAAGCACACACACACACAGACACATCACATATGCTCTCCGCCTCCAATTGAGATGGTGTGATGATAACTACCTCGGGCGACAGGGACTCGGGCCTATGCGCAGGGGAACTCTCAGGGGAAGATACGTTCTAGGAGGGAAAAGCATCTTGTTATTCATCTACTTTTTTCAAGTCAAGAAGCAAAATAAAATAAAGTAAAAAAAAAACAAGCATAGAGGTTAGCCATAGCTATTCTGGAAGACAGATGCTACCCTAAGAATGGCCTCAGTGATTAGAGGGAACTGAACACATTGTATGGTTTCTAGAGGCTGAGGGAGGTAGAAAGACAGGACAGGGTTGCTGTGCCTCATGCCACAACTTTAGTATCAAAACCAGAAGATGGCAAAGACGTTAGAAAGCAGCATACTGCCTTAAACTCTGAGTATGTCTGGGTCAAGGAAAGTTAGCCTGACAACATGAGAAACCCTAGAGTGAGCCACCACCACCGCCACCACCATCAACCATATGGCAGCAAAAAACCACTAGAGATGCCCCCTTGCCAGAAATGTTGCACAGGAGCCATGCCCTCCTCCTTCAAAATTGCTCTGCCATAACAGAGAAACAGGCATGGATCCGATACGCGAGACCGTGGTCTGTGTCCTTACACTAACTGGTCTCAAGAGAATCCCCAGGGCAATCGACCCCCTCATTGTGGCAAACCAACCTGAACCATAAATCATGTTTTTTGCTCTCTTTCCTGCAAACCAGGATCCTAAACCTGATTAAGTTAGGTTGGAAGGCTTGTCTGTACAAAAGAGAGCAAGACACACAGCTAGCTGTTTGAATGTAGTAACAAACTACATGTTTGCAACAAAAGCAAATGTCTAATTGGATCACTATGTGCCCACGGAAGGGAGGGAACATGTAAGCCTGAGGATACCCCAGCACTGTCCACACAGCTGTCAGCCATGGTTTGTTGCCATATCTGTTAGGGCTAGGGATGTTCTTCCTTGCCAAGCACAGGCTGAAGAAGGGGATCCCTTCCCTGTATGCCTGGAGGTAAACAGTGGCTCCACCCCAGATGGAGGATGCAGTTGTCAAGCCGTGAGAACGTCTGCCATCTGCTTGAGCTGGTAAAGCCACAGCAGGCAGCAGTCTGAGGTCTAAAACCAGTTGTGAGGAAAACGATTAAGTCCTGGTTCCCCTTATTTTGAGATGATCACGAAATGGTCACCTTGAAATGACCTGCTTGTAACAGCAAGGTCAGGGTTCATACACTATGAAGGTATCCTAGTGCACACACACACACATTTACCACAAAGCTCCCCATGGACACGCTCTTCCCTCTGGACATCCTCTCCAGGCTGATTCAGCTGAGCTAAACCTAGGGAAATCCCCTCTTTGTGTGGACATATTTCACTGGGCCCCCATTCCCTTTGGCCAGGAAAGGTAATTCTCTACATCTGGTTAAATAATGGACCCGGTTCAACCTCCATGGCAAGACAACTACGAATCATGAATGAATCTTCCCCAGGATCATGATTAGCATGCTGAGAAGTGCGTGCAAGAGTCCACGGTGGCAGCTGAAAGGGACGCGAAGACAACAGAAACAGAAATCTCATGAATGGGTGGAATGGAGCGAACAAGAAAAGCCCTGGCAAAGACGTGGAGGGGGAGTCTGACAAACGGCAAGACTTCTCTACAGACAGAAAAGGGGCACGAGGGGTGGGCAAGAGATTCAGTCACACACAATAGAAACAGGTCGCTTTCTTGCAGGGAACTGAAGCTTCTGCAGCCCAGGGCTTGCTACGACAGCACCTCTTAAATGACACAGACTCTGAGCAAAAAATTAAAAACAGGGGGGCCAACGTCCAATTTCAAGATACAAATTCTTAATCCCACACTACTGCTGCGTAGGATTGATGAGGTTAAGACACCCAGTTGCTGTTTCCTTTGCTGAGGAGGCCAACCCCATGACCTTTGATTTCTCCCAGCGCACTGAATCAGGCCCTCGCCGACACCAGTGTGTGCGTGGACAGGAGACGGCTAAGCAGGATAAGACCCAGTGAGACCCACAGACATTGGAATGCAATCAAGAAGTCCAGCCACATAAATAATAAATTCCTTAAGCAGATGATTAGTATCCTGGTGCTGTGTCAGATCACTCATGCAACCGGCTGCTACCAGGGCAGTGTATATGCCACAATTCAACTGGAGAGCTGGGGGGGGGGGGGGGGGGGGGGCAGGAGGCAGAGATTACAATATTGGTGGTATTAAGCCTCATATGAATCTGTTTTCATTTTTCCTCCAAAAAGGTAACTTTATAGCTTTTATGCCTCAGAATACATAGGCAATGCACAGAGAAATTTCAGCAGCCAAAGCTCTGGCTGAGTAAGGAAGTAATCCTGGAGATTTTTTTGACATCTTCTGGGCGTGGAACAGCGGTCACTGTGGGTGTGGCTTGGGGGAGGTATTTATGAATTGCCTGCATTGTGCAGGGGGTTTGACTAGATAACCCTGGAGATCCCTTCCAACTCTATGATTCTATGGTTCTCAGATCCCCAGGGGCCAGGACTTCCACACCATTGCACAGCTCCTTGCGCTTCCTTCTCTCCACCTCACTAGCCACAGCAGAATAAATTATGTAAAGCAGCTTTTAAAAACTCAGACTTAAAGTGCACAAATTTCCTTAAACTGCATAGTGAGAACTGCAGGATTTCACACAAGCTTGTGCAACTGTGCTGATATTCTCAAGCACAGAGAACTGAGACTCCAGGCTTGGGGGTCAGCCCAGTTGCCATCGGCACACACACTGGCTAAGAGCCAGTGGAGTGGGCAGAGTTTTGGAGTTAAATGGGAAGACCCGGTTTCAGACTTCCCCCAAATCCTCAAGCCTCACTGGGTGACTTGGGGCCAGTCATTATTTCTTAAGACTACCTTGAATGGCTGCTGTTTGGATAGGTGGGGGGAAAGAGTCCAAGCACAGATCCCAAGCTTTTTGAAGGGGAGGATGAAAATATAAAACACAAATAAGCAGGCATCTCAATGGTAAGGGCAGCAGCAGATCTAAGAATTTAACAGTCCACATTTTCCCAGTACTGAAACATCAGACAGAAAGCCCCTCGGGCACATGGGCAAGACACAATAAGAGAAGAAAATGGGATGCTTCAGAATGGAAGTGCTAGTGGCCTTCTCGTCTGGGAGGAAGCCCCAAAACGAAGACCACCACTGCACTCCACATCTGCCTTGAGTTCTAAAGGTGGCTGCAAGAAGAATGGGAAACAGTCAAATGAAGCTAGCACCACGTGGATGGAGAAATCCTGGGATGCAAGAAGGCCAATGTCAGTCAAAGCCTGGGGCGTGTGTATGACAGAAACAACCTCAAAGTTGGTATTCCCTTTGGATGCTACTATGGGGAAGGGGCCAAGAGCACACGTTGGTGCTAAGAGGACATGAGGGAGCAATGGTGCCCCCCCCCCCCATAGCCTATGACCCTTTGGCATAGCATAATACCTATCGACTGCATGGGATAGCAAAGGAGAGCCATGAGATAGCAAAGGATTCTCTCAGCCATTAGCCTAAGTGACCCTCCTAGGCAGTTTTGATGCATATGTCACAGGTGTGCAGGGTAACGCTTACCGCCACCACCACCCGCTTCCTGCCCCAGCTTACCTCAAACTGTAGTGGAGTATTGCAACGACTAGCTGACACGGAAGGAATCGGTGAGAAGATCACTCCGCAGCTGCTGCGACATTCCTCCTCGCCTGGCATAGATGAGGAGGACGTGGTGAGCTGTGGGCTCAGGGAGTCCAGGACCGAGGAGGGGGCAGGAGGCGGGGGAGTGACTGGAGACAGCGGCCTCAGTAACTTGGTCACACTCTGCTCCATCAGGTAGCGAGACTTCCACTTCTTCAAGGGGCTCAGTAAGTCTGAAATGTTACACAAGCCAGATGGTGAGCACTACCATTACACAGCCCTAAATCTACACTCAAGGGTTGCTCCCTCTAGATGAACCCTCAAAATTTCTACCTATGGCCCTGGCCCTTGAAGCACTGACACGCCCTCAGCGGAAAAGGAAATCTGTCTTCTGAGGAGGAGCAATACTGAAGCAAGGCAAGAACAAACATCTCAGCCCTGTCACAGGGTTGAAGAGACAGGCAAAGGGCTGGAGCCAGGGAAACAGTCCCGCCAAGGCTGGCCCAAAAGCAAAGAGAAGAAATGACTGCTCCAGGACCGTTACAGGGAGTGAAAAGTCCAGATCCCTTTGCATATTCAGACCAATCTTACAGCCCTCCCCCACCCCTAAAAGACAGGGTGACAGCCAAGATCCCAAAATCAACACTGATTCACTTGACCATGAACCTTTTTTTGATCTATCTGCCTTCCTGAGATAGGAGTTTGGTCTCCATTTTCCATGCACTCCTTCGGCAGATGGGAAATTGGGCATGGTTTCCCAGAAACATTGAATAAGAACGGAGAACTAAGCCAGCATGATTTAGTAACCTCCTGCATTAGTGCTTACACGAACCCCTAACAACAAGCCCTTCAGCAAGGTTCTTGTCTAACACAGCCTGGCCTGCTTTTTTGTATTCTTCTGCACCCAAGATTTTGAACCTATCCAGGATGCAAAGGAGTTCTCTGCTCTGTCCTTCCCATCCTACCCCGACCACAAATACTTTTCACTAATAGGTCCCCCGCAATCCCCCAAGTAAAACTCATGAAACAATTTCGCTATCTCTGATTCTATTGCCTTTGCAGCAGCATCCGCAGGACAACATTAAGTCTCCTGACAGCGTACAGAACAGTTCTTGCTAATAAGATCCAAAAGGACCACTGTATCTTCCCTTCCACTGGAAGGCTCCTATCCTTCACAGACACAAAGTAGCGCCTTAAACAAAACCAACTTTTCTAGAGCTCTATAGGTACCCACAAAAGTTATAACACTTTTTAAGCACAGATACTCTATGCCCAATGAAGTTCTTTAGATGCTCTCTAAGATCATGGGATCAGATCCAGTCACATGTTAGGTCCACCAGCTGTGTTGGAGCTACTCATCAATAAGCAACTCCCATATCATTAGGAGAACACTTAAAGGACACTTCAGTTGGCCCATATTTCAATTACTTGTTTTCTTTAAAAAAAACAAAAAAAACCCTCTGTTCTTCTCTGAACACTGCGAACCCATTATTCCAATTGAGCTTGCGCTGCTCCAGTGTATCTACTGAATATACCCTCACCCCTCTTCCTCACAATTCAAACTCACAACCAGTGGAAGCCCTAAGGTATGCTGAGTGGAGAGTACTCCAACCAAATTTCTAATCCTGTCACTACCCATTTCATCAACTGCTCCAAGTATTCCACCTGAAATGGTGACTTCTCTCTGCAAACGTAGCATCCTTTGCAAAGACACCTAGTTCTCCCGCTTTTCAGGACATGTGATTCCCACCACCCAGCCATGGGATGAGTTATTTCCCATATCTTCATCCTATCTACAACAGACTTCACAAAACAACCTTAGAAGAGCATCCTTAGAAGTCAGATGCCCGTGTGCGGTCTTTTGAAAGGCAATTCTTCACTTTTGACTCAAAGCCATCAACCCCAAATTGACAGATGTCTCTTAAGAAAGAACCATGGAGACTTCTAAGCTTTTTGCTCACTCGGAATTGTAAGCTTGTCCAGAGCTAGTGCTTTGTCCACTTTTGGTGCCTCTAACCTTTGTGTAACAAACAGTAATCTGTACACTGCCTAGGGCCTCGTCTGTCGTCCTTGGAAAACTGATCCCTGACTTGGATAGATCGCCACCCTCTTCCTCTGCAAAGACAGATGCAAAGTTACTATTTTTAAAACTCAGCCTTTTGCTTTGCTCACAGATGTGTGCTGCGGAGTGGCTGCTTTGTCACCAGTGGCCACCTCTTTAACCAATTGTCTCCTCAGCAAGTGTTAAAGATACGAGAAAGTTCCTAAGCAAAAGGGGCACTGGTTGCTCATACAGCACATGGGGTGGGGAAGCGGAGGTGCGGGTGTTAAGGAGCCTCAAAAGGGACAGGTCTTGGAGGCACAGAGGACGCCTCTCTTTAAGCATTTACATTAATCCAGCCTTGCTGATTCCCCCTCCCCACCACCAAAGGAGATGTCAGAATGAGCAGCCACTCAGCAGAAGGAATTCCACTCATGCAGCCTGTACACTTTTGCCGCTCCTCTCCCTTGACTCCCCCCCCCCCAAAAAACAGCACACTAAGAATAGAGCTGAAATATGCAAGAGCTGCTACAGGGCCAAGCCAATGAAGGGCAGGAGTGTGAAAGGGAAATGATGGCACTTCTAAGCTCTCACCCACAGCAAAACAGGAAATGGCTTCAAGTGCAAACTCACTTGCAGTATTTGCTCCTACTGCTGCTCACCAATACGGTTTCAAGACTCTTATCTGAACTGGCATATACAGGTGGGGCAAAGTTAAACAGATAGGGGTGTTTACTATAGATTACGTTTCACTTTTTAAAAACACGTTCCTCAGAACAGTGTGAGACAGAAATAAGCACCCCACACCAAAGCACTGGCGAGGGGCAGAGGCTGCTCAACCAACCTGTGTTCTCTTTGCAAATGCCAGAAGTGCTGCTGCTCTCATTACTTTGGTATAGACACTGGACTCTGTTCTCCTGGGAAGGGGCTGAGGTCTGAGTCATTCCTTCTTCCAGAGCTTGCTTCATCCAGCGCTGTAACAACAAAACTTGCTCAATGCACAGGCTCCCTTCCAGTTTCCACCTGCATCAGTCAATACCCACTCAGGGCTGGGGAAGGGGGTGGTATGCTTTTATCTCGATTCAGTTTATAGGCAATGCTGTTTACAGCCTCCACTCAAATCGAATTCTGCATCCCCAAAAAACCAAACTTTTAAGCAAATACTCTTACTTTGCATGAGGATGCTCAATTTGCCTGCTTCAGGTTGAACCCATATTTTACTAGCACAAATGTGGACATTTTTAAGGCAAGCTATAGCTTGACACCGAGAGGAAGAGAAACAGGCTAATGACTAAGGGAGTCTGGCAAGCAATTATGAGATTGGGAAAAGTAACCACTGCAGGCTGCCGTGAGTGCGCGCGCACGTGTGTGTGTGTGTGTGTGTGTGTGTGTGTGTGTGTGGGGAATGGCTCTATTCCTCCCAAACACTAAGCCACTGAACTAAGAGAACTAGAAACTTCTTTAAATCAGTTTTGATGCTTGTATCATACACAGCACATTCTGTATCAGGGCACCAGTACTTTTGTTCATGGAACTGCCAAGATGACTGTTACCCCTCGCTTTGGGCTCAAGTGGTTGCACTTCATACGCACTCTGTAAAACTGGACCAGAAAGCTGCCTTGACTGGCTCTAATGGGACACATGACAAAGCAAACATCCAGTCTTGATCGCTTTGCCACAAAACCAATGGAGGTTAGCTGGCCGAAAGTTCACACCGGGAAGTGAGCCTAATTTAGGTCCCAAGTTAGCCAAGGGAGTGTACTAATTACAGCTCCACCTGCTGAGTCACAGACAAATATGCCAGAGAAAGTTGCTTAACTGTGTAAAAGGAAATATCTGGGGCTCATTCCTGGCAGCAGCATAGCATGAAACACAGTCAACGAACCATATATAATCACAGTGTGAAAATTTAAGTATGTCCAAGAGAGACATCAGATCCCCTGCTCTCTCAGGCTCACCGTACATGTACAATCTGACACAAAAATTTAACCATTGACCATCTTCCATTTCTAGGATACACAAGTTTCTAGACCTCACATTCAGGAAGATTTGTAAATATATCAAGCAAGGCTTGGTGAGGACTCAATCAGGGCCAGTTTTGAACAGAAACTCCTGTGGTCCAAAGCCAGTATTATAATCCTCTGTCTAGTTTCTTGTCCAAAAAAGTGCTGTCCCCTTATACTGACAGTTCTCCCTCTTCCTCCACCTACCTCCGCTACTTCAAGTCCTTGCCAAAATGTGAATGAGACACCCAAATATTAATTATGTTACAAAGCTGTCACCTTATATCATGAGAACCACTTTGCTGACTTGCGTGAACGGGACAAACCAGGACACACTCACTCACTCCCTCTGATCTGCCGGAGGGATTATATTGCCACCAGGGTTTCCTTTAACAGCCAGGTGACTTGGGAAGTCTGGGAAAATGCACAGCAGATAGGGCGGCTCCTGAGCCCACAGACAATGGTTTGCAACTCTGAGCCCTCTGAACACCCACCGACCAACCCGGTGAATGAAGCTCTTTGTGAAGCATGGAACAAAGATATTTTAGACAGTCTCACCAGAGAAACAGATACGCTGAAGAACACATTTAAATATGTTTAGAGTCACACACCACCACCATTTGCTGACAAAGGAGCCAAGAATAAAACGCCTTCACATGCTTTAACAAGAAGCCTGGTTTACAACTAGAATCCCAAGCCTCTCTTCTGTAAGAAGACCAGAAGATCTGCATGCTCAGATCTAATCATTGGGCCACACAAAGCATTCCATGGAATAGCTATTTGTGAGAAGAGTGTGCATGTGCGTATAGCAAAGGTCTGCAATGTGGGAATAACATGCTAAAAACTGCCCCCCCCCCACATGTGGAAATGTCTTCCATAAATGGAAAACTTAGTTAGGATTCAAGGCAAGATTTGAACACACACAAACACACATGAGGCCGCCTTATACTGAATCAGACCATCAAGGTCAGTATTGTCTACTCTGACCAGCAGTGGCTCTCTAGGATCTCAGGGGGAGGTCTTGAAGTGCTCATGAAGCTGCCTTATACTGATTCAGACCCACCAGTCCATAAAGATCAGTACTGTTCATGCTGACTGGCAGCAGCTCTCCAGGGTCTTTCACATCACCTACCACCTGATATGATTCCTTGTTTAGCTGGAGATGCCAAGGATCGCGCTTGGGACCATCTGCATGCCAAACAGATGCTCTACCCACTGAGCCCTATACACTTAATTTAGTATCAAGGTCTGGCTGCATTAACAATTCACCTAGATTTCTTTTTAATACCTCTCTCTCTCACTGACTCACACACAGACACAGATTTCAAACTTACACTGCAGTATTGGCATATAACCACCACCACAGTTCAGATCTGTAACACTAAAACGCAGCCGGTCCATAGCCTATTAATATGTAGGACTGGTAAAAGCAACGTATGATGACGCCACATATATTTAGCTTGAAGATTTTTTTAAAAAGCGATGTAAGATTGTCGCTTGCTTTAAAGGTATGCCAGGAAAAATAGGAAGCACAAACTGTTCATCGTAAGCGAGTGATACGGGTTTTGAACAACTTGTTCTGAACAATTTATTCTGAGCATGTTGGTTTAGTTTATTTTTAACTATTTTGCTTGCACTGAGTGCACAGCCCTACTGAAGTGACTGGCCCTGATAAAGGCCCTGATACTACCGAGAGCACAGCAAAAGAAGCAGACATACCTTTTTACAAGAGCTGTAGTTCCCATCTAGCTGAACGGGCCGTCGCCGCCTTTCCGGGGTGAAGGGAGAGCCAAAGCGGATGTAGTGTTTAGGCATGGTACAAATGAGGGGGGAGTGGACGAGGCCTGGCAACATATTGAGGGTGGTGGCCAGCACAGTTGGGTCAGTGGTGATGCGTAAAGGACATTCCCTGCTTCTCTGCTTTGTCGTTCAGCCACTCTGTCACTAGATACTGGAGCAGAAAAAGATGCATCATCTTAGTAGGCAAGAATCTGGGGAAATACAAGGGTACTAAAGAGGGAACGGACAAGAAGTGGGAATACAAAGCTGCCTTATATTGATTCTGACAATGGCCCCTCTAGCCAGTATGGACTACTCTAACTGGCAATGGCATTGCTAAGGTGTCTGGCAGACCAGGGCAAGAGTCTCTAAAACACTATTACTTTCATCAGCAGAGTGGAATATACTCACAGCCTTCTTAGACAAATAAAAGGACATTCCAGGGATTAAAAGCAATAAGCTACTTGTACATGTAGTGCTGTTTTGCTTCCATCCTAAACTTTTGACCTTCTCACTGAGCAACTGATGGAGCACTTTGGAGAGCTGTCCAGTTATAATAGTAACTGGAACAAGACAGGCACTGGCAAGGCTTCCCTGCCCAGTTGCCTGGTAACTGGCAATTCCAATAGGTCTCTGTACTCATATATTAAACACCTGGATCAGACCGACAAACAAGGCCCAGTTTTGGGTCACTGCATTAAGGAAATGGAACTCTTAACAATGAACTGGGGGAAAATTCACACACTCAAAATGAATGTGTTCCTGGACGTCTTTCAAGAGGACTGCCAATTCCATAGAAATTATTAACTGCACAATCCTGTGCAAGATTATACCTGTGTAATATTTTTAACTGGAAATACCTAAGACCCACTTTCTCTCTATCAATGGGACTCAAAGCAGCCTACATTAAATTATAAAAAATACAATAACAGAAATACAGATACAAATAAAATGAAGAAAGCTAGAACTTTCCTGCAAGGTACTATCAAATGCACAACAAAAAAGCTCTGCTTTATAGAGCCTCTGAAAACCAGTGCAGGGTCACAGCCTTCCTCACATCCTCTGAAAGCCCCATTCCACAGCATGGGTGTGGGCCATGGAGGAAACGTGAGCCAGAGAAAGGATAATTATTAATTACCTAAGCTAGAGAACAGCTGATAAATCCCGGGCTGATTATCAGAGCTGCCTTGTGGGCACATACGGCTGGGGTTGGTCTTGCAGAAAAACTCTCTAAAATCAACTGACTTAGCCTGGAGTAACTTTGCACAGGACTGTACTGTTAAACTATTCGATTTAGTAATTTGCCAAGATGCTTTCTTAAGGAGAAGCATTAGTTTCTAACAATTATTCCCCCCGGATGCACACATCTGTAACTAGCAAAATGGTTTCATCCCTTCATGGCTAGGCAAAGTAAAGCTAGTGATACTTTATCCAACTGTGTATAGTTCTGAAATAGTCAGAAATTCCCTTCTCCTGGGCCGTCTGTGATATGCAGAACCTATCTTGTGGGAAAATCTTGATTTCTGGATGACCTGGGAAAAAATGAGGGAGGTGCAGGAGAGCGGACTAACTGAAAAACTTTAACTCTGCTTTAACCGCTCAGCACTAATAATGAAATTTACCCACTTTGTGAATTTGTGTTTGATCTGTGCACTACCCAATTCAGCAGAATTACACTACGCTCGAATATAGTTATGCATATTCCAGGAGTCTAGCTAATATGTACTCCAAAAACTAGTCTCTTAAACTGTTTGCCTTCTCTCAAGACCAGCTAAAGTCTGATGCAAGCCTCAAACCTGGCCATGAACTACTGAATTTGAGAACACCTATGTCACCAAGTAACATTAGTCTCTTCCAAAACTCTGATACTATTACCCTAGCCTGTCTTGCTCCAAGTAATTCTGGAATTTGACCAATCTCCAAATTAGTTAAACTACTGCATCAGCGATGAGATCAAAAGCAAGAGTGTACATTCGGGTTTACCTGAGCTGAAAATGTACCTGAAAAATACCTTATCGGAATTTTTTGGATATATTTTGGCTTCTTGTATCCGGGTTTCCTCAGGAATACCGGGGGAGGGGGAATCCTGAGAAAATCCCGGATACATTCAGGAATTTCGGGTAATCTGAAAACAGCTGAGAGACAGTACAGCTGTGTGTTGGGCAGGCTTATGCAGTTTAAACCAGGATGCAAGAGAAGTCAGACCAAGATCAGCTGGGTCAGTGGGGAGTTGAGAGCTCCCCGGCAGCGCAACTCTGCACCGCCTTCTCCTGCCGCCCAGTTTAAACTGGGCAGCTCAGCCAGGATTGCCTGTGTCTGCGGGGAGCCAATCGCTCCCTGCGGGCACAGCTCTGCCTCTGCCTTCTCCTAGTGCTGGTTTAAACGAGGCAGCAGGAGAGGGCAGCCCAGTCGGGAGTGCCTGTGCCTGCAGGGAGCCAATCGCTTCCTGCAGGCGCAGCTCTGTGTGGCTGCAGAAGCCATCCTAGCCAGAATCTGTGTGTGGCGGGGAGAGACCTCCCTGCCGCACACAGATCCTGGGGCCGGCTTCTCCGGCAGTGCAGTTTAAACTGTGTTGTAGCCATTTTAGCCAGTACTTTTCTTCTCAGGTCTATTGGGATCCGAAAAAAATCGGGATTTCTGAAAAATCCCAGCTCCAAATACCATGCCGGTATTGGGATCCAGGATTTTTCGGAAATGCCAAAATATTTTTGGATCTAATAGACCCGCACCGAAAAATACCAGTTAAAAAAAGTTGCACACCCCTAATCAAAAGTTTTGGTGGTGGTGGTGAACCAGTAAGAGCATCAACTATACATAAAAATAGTTTGTTGTTCTCATGTCTGTTATTGTTAATCCCTTGAGTCTATTAGCCTTCCATCAGATTCATAAACACTTTGACCCCCCTCCCGATGTGACAGAAAATGGGTTGCCCAAATTCAAGCATTTTCCAAAGCCCCGAGGGACCAAGGCAAAATCTCCCATCATAATGCACTTACCTTTTTTGTTTTGGGGTACTTGACTGTGGCCCGGATGGTCTGGGATCCTGAAACTGCAGCCACAGCTGGGTCAGAACCAGTCGGCTGTTTCCCTTCTCCTGGGCCCTCAGTGCTGCTGACTTCTGCTGCCGTTACTGTGCTCACACTGCTCCCTTCCTCTGGAGCGGCCTGTGTGAACTCGGACTGCTGGGCACTCGCTTGCTTTTGCCTTCTCAGTCGCTGTGCTGAACTACTCCGGTACCGGGAAAACCGACTTCTGGGTCGTGGCCTTGTTGGTTTAGATGGTACTGGTTTAGCGACTGGCTTTTCTGCAGCAGTCTCCTGCAGAAAAGTTTATGTCTGTTAAGTAGCTGCTCCTGTCCATTCACACCTTCACCCTTCAGCTGGCAGACAAAGCAGATGAGATCTGGCTATACAGGCAGGCTCAGTTTCAGGAGGAGCCATGACTCTAGCCTGAACCCAGAAAAAGCACCCTCTCCTTGTAGCTTGATGTTAACACTTCCTCCAGTACACTGCTTCCTCCCCTGCTTTTGAAGCTCTTCCCAGACAGAGACCAATGTATATTCTGAGTCTGAGGAAAGAGGTATCCCAAGGGCACTGCCTGTCTGAACAGCACTGCCTGTCTGAACAACTGTGTTGATTTCTGGCCTCTGCTGGCTGCCGCTCGATACCACCACAGCACAAACCATCCTCCCTTTCTCTCCCAGCTAGCCAGCCAAAACAAGCTGACTTTCAAGTCAAGCACAGGTATGGCAATACTAAGTATCTCCCCCACTACCGCAGCACCAAGTCGGTGGCTCACTACACTGGGTAGAATGACCAGCATTAAGAACTGCTCTGCTGGGTCAAACCCATCTTAACATTACGTCTCTCTAGGACTGTCAGATACCACAGGAACGTTCATATACACATTGAGATGGTGATGACCACCACTGGGAACTGCCAGTCAGAAGCACACACTTTCTGAACTGGACGTTACACATCTGGCTACCAAGGCTTACAGGAATATCAATGCTTGAAACAAAGGAATGACCAGCAGACTAACCCACTGAAGCAATTCCATGGCATTCCACAAAAGCCTAGTTCTACTGCTCCCTCTTACCCCAGCCTGTGAAGACCTCCGGGTATTCACTCCAGTGCTGACACAGGGAGGGGTACTCGGGGCAGAAGCGCTTAAAGTCAAACTGCTCTCTTCGGTTTCGTTTGGCTCAGATTTGGCTTCCTCCGGTTCTGGCGTCTCAGCGGTCACCACCACCTCCGCATCCGTGCTGCTTCGGTCTGATGGCAGATCTCTTCTCCGTTTTCGTTTCTCCAGGTTTTCAAATACATGCATGATGGCTTCTACTTTCCTGTCTTCTCGGGACTGGTTCATACAAATAGAAATCAGCATCAGTGGGACAGCCATGTGAAGGACAGAAAACACAACTGGGGTGGGGGTGGGAAAGGAGGACAGCAGGGGGCATCTTAAAGAGTCTCCGGAGTCCCATCCCCTGGAGCCCTATCTGTCAGGTGATCTGTCAGGTGATAGGGTCCTTAGCGCCTATAAACTCATAAAATTAAGGTTGGCTGAATTAGCACACACTGAGCTACTGGGGAAACAACTCTGTCCAATACAAAGGCCAAGTCTGAAGGAGACCGCATGGCCACATGAAAAATATCACCAGATAGCAACTACTACAGTGCATAATAGTTGCTCATTCTCCCTCATGGCAAAGCTAAGGATTTGTCTTTCCCCCTCCTTTTCTTCCCTCTGGATATTATGTTTTAGCTTTTGTTGCCATATTGAATATTCTGTTTGTTTTTCTTTAAATAAAACTGCTGGGTTTCTCAATGGCTACGACATGAAGCACTGAAGAGAACTGAAGTGCCCAGTTTCCCAGCTCACAGAAGACCCAGATGGAAGAATCTGCTGTTATCAAGAAGAAGAAGAGAAGAAGAGATTGGATTTATACCCCGCCCTTCACTACCCAAGGGAGTCTCAGAGCGGCTTACAATCTCCTTTCCCTTCCCCTCCCCACAACAGACACCCTGTGAGGTAGGTGGGGCCGAGAGAGCTCTTGACAGACTCTTTTTCAAGAACAGCTGTGCCAAAACTGTGGCTTGCCCAAGGTCATCCAGCAGGTGCAAGTGGAGGAGTGGGGAATCAAACCCGGTTCTCCCAGATTAGAGTCTGTGCACTTAACCACTACACCAAACTGGCTCTCAAGAGGACAGAATAGTAAAATACATAGCTTCAAAAGTGACAGAAACATCAATGGGACGGAGAGATTTTATGTTCGATGAAAGAAGTAGGACAATAGTGATAGATTTAGGAAAAGTTCCTGCCAAAGGAACTTTTTAGAACAAAATGCTGGCTCTCCAGAAAAGGAATCCGCTCAGTAAACTCTTTCTCGGCACATGAGGACAGAGTTCTCACATGGATCAAAACAACACACCAAAGGATGCTTATTTTGTTGCTAGGGAAGCTTCCTCATCATCTTTCCCCTCCTAGCAATGACACAGGTCAGACAACTGAGGCTTCATACTTTCTATAAACATTGATGATTAAGCACTATGGAAATAAACGTGTCAATACATTTCTATTTCGTTGGTCTTTAAAGCTGTCCTCTCCTTTCCTAGTCAGCTTGTTCTTATGGTTGAGGTAAAAACTTTCCACTTATACTTCACCTCTAACAGGTTGGACAGTTCTGCTTTTGGGGGACTGCCCCACAGAACTTGGTTCTTCAATAGTCCTCCCAATAAAGCCTAAGCCTCTGCCTTCCCATTGTCACCAATACTTTTGCACCTCTTGCTGCTTCTCCTGCAGCCACCATATCTACAGACATGGGAGCCAAACTCCCCCCCTCCCCAAGCCTTGTATGTACTACAGGTACCCATGGGGTGGCTGTGCCTATATAGCGCTGACGTGCCTTTTCTCTTAAACCAGTGGTTTTCGAACTGTGTTCCAGGGAACCCAGAGGTTGCACAGGAGCTTATCAGAGCTCCCCAATGAAGACATCAGAAGTGGTGACCTACAGACTGGACTGAAGTGGCTTGCCCATTACTACTCATCTCCCTTGACAATTAATATCCCAGGTGAGTGTTGGTTGCCTTTTAATGGCACGGCGTCAGTTCACACAGAGCGCTAGTAAGGCCCAGCATATCAGTCCAGTTCCCTGTATGAACCGAGTGTGCACTCTGTAATGTACTCAAGAACCCACTGCAAAATGGAGGCATTCAGGAGTCCATGGCAGACAAGCCGATATGGTTCACAGAATGGAGAAGCCATTTTTAAGGCAGTGAAACCAACTGCTATCAGTAGGAGTAGCAGCAGGAAAGTGATGACATCTGGGTGGGAGATCAGACAAGTTAACTCAGGAATACTGTATGAGGGTAAGGTATAAGAAGCTTCCCTCTGGCAGGAGAGACAATATTCCAGCACAAGCAGTTGAAAGGGCAAAGATACTTGCCCGCCTGCTCTGCGTGAGGCCTCCCTGATCATCCGACGCTGCTTCTTTCTCCTCTTCTTGCTTCTCTTCTTTGTCTGCAACCTGAAAGGCAAAACAGCAGAACTCAATAGCAGCCACCATTGCAAAAAGATACATGAGATAATTACTGGGAAATTTCAGCATTTCACTGGAGCTGCAGCTACTCCCCTTTGTCTAGAGAATTACTCCCTCCAAGAAGCAGCAAATTCCTCTTGAATTAGTGACCAAACAACGAGCACTTTAGGGTCCCATGGACTTACCTCATTATCACTGGCTGCAGCAAGTCCCTCGGGGACTTCCTCTGCTTGTGGATTACTGTTCTCATCTGATGCAGCACCACGCTGCTCCAGCTCCTTCCGACGGGCTTTCCGTCGCCTAGTCTCTGCTCCAATCAGAGTGTCTAGAATAGGTGGAGGTAGCTGGTCTATAGCGTTTGAGCTTCGTTTTTGTACAGGGCAATTCCGGTTTCCCTTGTGACAGGCACAATCCACTTTATAGTTGCTGCCCCGCCCCCACAAAAAGAGACACGGTATTAGTATCATTCTTCATATCTCAGATGCATCAGATGCATTGGTACCTTATGCAAACTACAGAGGCAAGACCGGGGGGAGGGGGGCATATTCCTGCTGTGCCTTCATCCTACCAGAAGCTGAACAAGCAGCAAAGGGAGGGAGGGGGGAGAGATGGGGAACATCAGAAGAGCCCTGCTGGATCAGACCAGTGGTCCTTCTAGTCCAGCATCCTGTTTCACACACTGGCCAACCAGTTGCCCTGTGAGGCAAGCAGGGCACAGAGGAAGAGGCTCTCCTCACTGCTGCTGCCTTCCAGCACTGGTATTCAGAAGTCTGCTGCCTGTGGATACAGTAGCAGCTACTGCAGCTGGTGGCACATCCCAGATAAGGAAGCAGCACCAAGAGAACTCACCAGATGTTGTACTCGTAGTCAAAGGCAATTGTGACCTCCGCATCCTTGGCAATGGATGTAACAGCATATATACATAGGTGAATCATCCCATCAGCAATCACATGACGGACCTTCAACACAAACAGAACTGTTAGCACACCAAAACCAGATGTCACACGGCAGCAGAGGACATCTTCCAAGAAAGAGTAGAGACAGCTTCTTAGATTCTCTACAGCCTAAGTAATTTGACCCTTCAGATAGATACACTCATGAATGAAGATCGTACTTAACCAAAAGAAAGGCAACTCTAATGTGAAACAAGCCCACTTAATTTGCATGCGATTTTAAGGGCCCCCCCCAATTCTTGGAGGTACATCTAGTCTACTTTTCAGGTGAACAGGATAGTTTGCTATGCCACAGAACCTAGACTTTAGCCATTAATAGAACTACTGGAGAATGTGTAGCACATCTTAAGGACCGTTAATGGTGGAGCACATGGATTAAAATTCTGTCTAGTGAAGATAAGGTTCTAATGTTTGCCTTTCAGAAACCACTGATAAACCAATTGTGAGAATTTAAAGTTCTCCTACAGTATCCAGTACCATAAAATCCACTGGAACTTGGTTTGCAGTCCATTCACTTTATTTAGGAAAAGATTACTTTCCAAGATGCGCTCCATAAGCTATGCCAAGTTTCTTTACGTGCCAAAATGTCATCCATTTACCTCTGCATTTGGTGTACAGGAGCGCCTGATGAATCTGGCATCATTACCAAAGGTGCGAGCATCCACACATATCTCAACGCTATTGAACTTGGAGTAAAACAGTACAAAGGGATACGGCCTGAGAAAGCAAGAAAAGCACCTGAAATCTTCATGCAAGGAATAACCAACATGACACTGCTTCCATGAAGCCCTGGAAACAGCACTGCTTAAATGACATTTCATTTGTGAGGCTCCCACACCACACAGTCTGAAGAAAACTCTTCCAGAAATGTGCACCCCTCCAGGGATGCACAATGCTTTTCTGCTTTTGAAATCAGCAGCTGGGGGCCGTCCTGTCACCAGCAGACCCACAAAGTGTCTCTGTCCTTCTGAATGTTTGGTGTCCTTACTTTTTGAAGAAATGTCCATTGACCTCGAACTGTTGTCGCAGCATCACTTTCCCACGATATTCAATGATCAGGGTGTCTGCGGCCAGATCTCTGGCTGCTCTCAGAATCTTCCGGTGCTTCTGAACTCGGGTCACTCTCCCCAGCTGCAGCTTCAAGGGGAAGGCCAGGAAAGTGTGTGAGAATTCAGAACCCGCTCCACAGTCGTCAGCTGCATGTGCAGGGCTGCATTTCTTAAAGCAGCCGAACACAAGTAAGATCTCTGAGATCTGACCATATTTATGTCCACCAGAGTGTGTGAACCAAAGTGGTAGGCATACATGGCCCAAGAGAGCACTGTTGGCTGTACCAGGAAGATTTTATACCTGAAAAGTATCTTATCTAATGAGCCAGAAAGGAGGACGGGGAGCGAAGGACTGTAGTTTTCATACCTCCCTGAGCTTCACCTTATCTGCTCTCCCCTATGTATTAGCTTGCTTGCATCTAGGAGCAAAAGAGCATCTTTCAAACCTAGGCTTCATCAATACTCCCACCCTATCATGCAACTGGCTGGATTACCACCACTTATGGGCTTGCTTGTTTACCTGCATCTGAGATCCAATGACTGTGTTGTTACAGGCAAGTTCTGTCTTATTGATGGTATCCAGCACGGCAGCCTTGCCCACAAATTCTTTGTTGGCATTGAGATGGCGTTCTAGAAGGTTCTGCACATCAGCACTGTACTGGTTAGTGAAGGCTTCTTCATACTGATCTGTCCAGAGCCTTATGCGGTTCTCCCAGCCTTCTGGTGTATTCTCATCCAAGGCGTGGGCTTCTGAAGGAGAGTTCTGTACCAAGGCAAAAACAAAGTGCCGACTAAGTGGCTTTGTGTTCTGAGAGGGACCCTGGGCCTTCTGGTGATGATAGGCTAGCCAAGAATTAGGAAGATGACAAATCTGTCATCTATTTGAAAAGAATCCTGGGCCTCAGCTACTTGGTTGATGGCATTTCTGAGCCTCTTGTACTCTGGCATTTGCTTAATAGATCTCAAATAAATGATAACTGGCACAGCAGTGCTTCTGAGACCACTCCCTCCACATTATACAGAAGACTCAGTGTTCTATCACCTACCAGTGGTTTTTAAGTGTTCTCCTTCTGTTACCAGTAATGGTACAGCTTAGACCGGGCTAAATAATAACCAAGTGTTGTCATGCTGAGGTATTCACATGCCCAGTCCCATCCAGGAAATCAGAAGACAGTTCACCCGCCAAGCAAGGCCTGGTATTGAAACCACTGGTGACCTATGGAAAGGTTATCTAGGTGTTCTACACACCTAGTGCTTTTTCAGTGACGAAGGAGATCAATTACCCTCAGAGCAAGCACTGCAGAGGTGCCCAGAGCTACATACATAGCTCCACTCACCTTCATCCGCAAAGACTTCCGTGAACCTTCTCTAAAAGCCTGTCAGCAAAACAAGACAAATGGCCATCAGTATTCATGCCCTATATAGTTGAGTGTGTCTTGAAACAAAGACTGCAGCAAAAGGAAGTGCTCAAGAAACTGAGAATACATAAGGTGGGAACTGGAATTTATCTGAGCACAGTCTCAACAGCAGACTCCCCAAAGGATGCTGCTTCCATACTTTCTTTAGTTGCCAAGCATTGATTTTCTCCATTTCACTTGCACTGAAGCTCAGCCAAATACTGTTCCTCTGGGGGGAGGGGAAGAGATCAATCAGGCAAGGAGTGCCGGCAAGCTCTTTCAAGGAGGCCACATAGAGTGAACGTACAGCATCATGCAGATATTTCATCCCAATACACTTGAACGTAAAAGTTAAACAAGCTCCCCCCCGCAAAGTTCTGAGCATCAAGAGCCCTTCCCCAGTTTAAGGAGAATGTCTGCCTACAAACAGTGATTCCTTCTAACAAAAAGAAAACCGCATAACAGTCCATTCATTTCACAGCAAAAAGTCTAAATAATACGATACCTCAGTAAATATATAGACCTGATAGATTTTGCAATACTACTGTATTCAAGCCCAGGCTATAGCCTGTGACTCAGTCTTTCATGTCTGAAGCTTGAAATTTTCTTGTAGAGGGACCATATGGTTTGGTGTGGGGAGTGGATAAAAAGGCGGGAGGTGATGTCAATGTGAAGCAAAATAATTTATTTTTAAAAATTGCAACCCATTTCTGAACTGCCAAGTTCTTCATCCTTTATCTCAGTGCCTTTGCGCTGATTAGCCAAGGTGCTAGAAGCCAATAGTGATTTACTTTTTACCAAGTAACTGAGTAGAACACTGCTTATATCTAAGTAAAACGTGCATAGACTACTCCTCAAATTGACAGCTGAAAATTCAGAGACTGCGTCCCCCCCCCCCAGATGATGTAGAGACAGAGCACTGCCATTTTGCAGGGAACAGACACTGCATCAGGCACGAAAGGAAACTCCTATGGCTGTCCTAGTATATTTGTCTGTAGCATGTCACCTTTCAACGAACAGGGAGCTATTCACCTATCCCAGTGGACCTGTTCTTAGGATGAGACTATCTAGATGTCAGCAGGTAGGAAAGAAATGGAAAGCTACCAGGCTGTTCTCAATGATTTATTTATTTATTAGATTCAATTTTCATGCCACCCTCCCCTGTAAACAGGGCTCAGGGCGATGTGCAACAATAGATAAAAAAAATTACATTCATGTTAATTTGAGGTTAAAATGTTAAAATTACAGTAATCAACTTAAATAGATGGTGGTAGAAATTCCTAATTGTGCCACCGCCTTGCAGAGGGAAGGCAAAGGGGTAAAAGTGCCAGCCAGATGGATGCCGTTGCTGTCCTCAACCCAATGCCTGGTGAAACATCTCTGCCTTTACTAGACCCCGTGGAACTGCATTAAGTTTCGCAGGGCACAGCTGTTACTCAGCAGAGTTCCACCAGGTTGGGGCCAGAGCACTAAAAGCCCCAGCCCCAGTTGAGGACGGCTGGATGTCTCTTGGGCCAGGGACCACAAGGAAGTTTTTGTCTGCAGAGCGTAGCACTCTTTTTTGGGGGAGGGGTATACCAGGAGAGGTGGTCCCAAAGGTACATGGGTCCCAGACCATTAAGGGCCTTAAAGGTAAGCACCAAAACCTTGAACATGATTCAGTGCTCTACTGGTAGCCAATACATCTCACACAGCACAGGTCAAATATGTGCCATTCATATGGTCCCTGTAAGGATCCACGGCTGCTGCGTTCTGGATCAGTTGGAGTTTCTGGGTCAGTCTCAAGGTAGCCCTATGCAGAGCAAGTTACAGCAGTCTAATCTGGAGGTGACTGTTGCATGGATTACTGTGGCTAGGTCAGGGCGGAACCAGTAGGGGGCCAGTTGCCTGACCTGGCGTAGTTGAAAGAACACCAGTCTGGCAACATTTGTGATCTGGGCCTCCATTGATAAGGATAATAATGTCTGCTCATCAACCGGCTTGAACTGCTCACAGCTATTTCCATTCACACACCTTGATTTTTTTGGCCTTTGGCGCAGTACGTGCTCTTTCTGTATTCCTTTTCCGCTTCTTGGGTTTGGTTCTACAGACCCGATTGACTGTCAGAGTGATGCTCGTGGGGGTGTGCTGTGTAGCCGTGTACAACACTGTGGATGGAGACAGCTCCTCGTCCCAGCTCTCAGTTGCACTGCTGTCTCCACCTGTGGTGAGAAAAGTCATATTGGCACCTTCCCCCTTTTTTTAGAATGATCTCTGCCCAAAAAGCAAATGGGTGATGCACTCCTCTCCCAGAAATGCCTGGCAAATCCAGCCATCTCTTGCAACAGCCACTTGCTCTCTCAATATGAATACCCTAAGTGTTTTTGAGATCCAGAAGGAGGCTGGGAAAGAACACAAGGTGGTAGCCAATGCCACTGTGGAAATTAATTATCAGAGATATAGACTAGACTTAACTCTACATCAGGACAATTGCTCTCTCCAGTTTTAAAAGCCTATAGATAGGCAGCTCTGAACGCACCTGACACGTTATCTTGCTTCCGGCGGCGAAGTCTGATCACTTTTCCCCTGCCGATGCCCCTGTAAGAAGGAGAAAGATATCTGAAATGAGTACTGTTACGGGCTAAATGGCCAAAAAAATAAAATCGGACTATCAAAGCTTTTGGTTTTCAGTGGCATACCAGATGGCCACCTTCACCTGGATAGCCCAGGCTAGCCTGATCCCATCGGTTTGCAGAAGCTAAGCAGGGTCAGCCTTGGCTAGTATTTGGATGGGTGGCCTCCAAGGAATAACAGGGCTGTGATGCAGAGGCAGGCAATGGCAAAACCACCTCTGAAACGTCTATTGCTCACCACTGAGGGGTGCATAATGCTAAGAAAAGAGCTAGAACTTCTGGCTGCCATACAAACTTAGGACCTCCTGGCTAGTCTACACACAATGTCATACAATCATTAATTAATTAATTAATTACTAGACCTTCAAGCGTTAAATAAGTGTAATGTATCCCTAATACAAAATTATTTGTTCAGCAAATCATGGATTTTGCAACAAATGCACTATCCAGATTCCCAAGAGACCCAGTTTTCAGTTTTATAACAAGTATATTTCTAGCCCTTTAAAATTTAGAGATAATTTTAAAATGAAGGAAGGCTGCATCAGTTCAATACTCCAAGTCTGATGGCTGGTTGGGAGGGGCTTCAAAAAGCCAAAGAAATCCAGCTGCATCTTCTTGATGGCAACAGTCAGTCTACATCTGACAGGTCCCATCTCTCCTTTGCTATCTCTGTTCATCACTGTAGGGAGGCTCACTTTCAAACAAGCTTGAATCAGATGTTGAACAGTTTAACCATCTACTTGGTGGCATTCAGACTATCTAGTATTTGCACAATGGGCCCCCCACGTGCAGGGATCAGGAAGGAGGCAACCAGAAACAGGACTTTTTCAGGGGTGGCACCTCACCTCTGAAACACCCTCCCACCTCCCTTGCAGCTCTCTATTCTATCCTGTGAACTGCTTTGAGCAGGTCTCTGGACAGCCACATATTAATTTTCCAAAAATATAAATGTATTCAGGTTTTTATGACCTTTCAGAATGTAGCTTGTTGAGCTGCAAAATGTTGTGTTTTGATGTAGTAGTGCAAGTTACTTTGCCACATCTCCCCACGGCGATTAAATAATGGCTGAGTCAATGAAAGGGTAAAGAACTGCAGACAATGCTACATTGAGCCACTCAGAAAACCCTTCCATCTGCCACTCCTCCCTGCCCTGAACAAAGAATCAAGAGGCCTTACCTGCACTTCTCACATTTGATGAGGAAGCCATCCTGGGAGAGGCTGCAATGACACCAACTGGGGATGGATTCCGCCTCTGAGGAGCTCTCTGTATCCCCAGAATTCTCCTCATCATGCGAGTGTAGGCCATTCAGTTCTGCACGAGGGATGATGGTCTGGACAGGGGGAGAAGCAGGAGGGGTCGGAGGAGGAGGGGCTCCGTAATTATGATCCTGAAAACAAACATTTGCATCAGTGCTATTTTGGGTGGGGGGGAAAGGGGGAGAGGAGATGGCTTTCCAAAGCTTGCGAGCCTTAATGAAAAGCCCAAATTTCTCTTGGCATACAGAAACCTGATTACAAGCTAACACAGCTAGGACTCGTAAGATATACTGAATCTGAACTCCCCCCACAAGACTGGGTGGAGTGATTGTTTTCTCTATCCAACCCCTGACAGAGTCCTCAATCCCAGAGGGTCACAGTAGATTCCACTTGCAAAATATTTTCCTCTAAAGTAAAACTGTACACAAGTATGGACATTTCAGCATTAGAGATGTGAAGGTCTGGGGAAGGGGGTACATTACCCACCCCCATGACATTCTCCCCCAGTTTTAATCAATGAAGAAACTTGAAATTTTGGGGAGCTCTAAATAAACCTTCTAATGTTGTTTCTTTTGTAATGACTGAAATGCTTATGACAAGATGACTCAAAATGTGCACTATGAAGGTCTTTATGTAAGGCAATGTACAGAAATAAACAATTCTTCCATTTACTGTAGTCACACACAAGTGTATTTTCAATATGTTTATTGTATGACTAATTTTATTTACAATTTACATGCTATGATGGGTATGACATTACACTACTAAAGAGCTTGGTGTTTTTGAAAGCTTATCTTGATAGTCAGTTTACTGCTAAGTCCTACTCTGACTGTCTGAGACTGCTTCTGTCCAGATATAGTTCCTTTTGCTCGCTACAGAGGTTTTCTATTTTCAAGGTTTATGTTTTTCTATTACTCAGATGGCAAAAGTGAAGCTATGTGTGCTAATGTGGCAGAGGGTGCAACAGTTCACAGCTCTCAAGTACTGGGCATACTCAGAGTTTTGCTAACAGAAAACAATTCTTTAATCATTTTTAACGTTACCGAATTCTGCAGCTGAACTCACTGAACCCCCAAGCTCAATGCATGAAATCCAATCTAGAGCATTCCCAACAGATTCCTGTCCAGCACACACCTGAAGACATCCAGTAAAGGAAAGCTCAACGTGTTCCTAGGTGACTGGTCCCATTGTCAAAGTACACTTGCTGTTAACAAAGCTTCTCCTAATGGACATCATGAGGGGAGGAGCAATGGCTCACTGGGTAACTCATACAATCCCCAGCATCTCCAGTTAAAAGCATCAGGTAGTAGGTGGATGGAAAAGACCTCTACCCAAGACCCCAGAGAACTGTCAAAGTAGACAACATTGACTTTGATAGATCAACGGTCTGATTTATAGCAGCTTTGTGTGTGACCCATATGTAACCAAAATCTACTGGTGTAATCAAAATTTAACCCTGTAATTTAAGCCCATTAGATGTCGTCTTGCCCTCTGAGGAAGCAGAATATGAGTCTTCTCCATCTTTCACATGACAACCATTAAGGTATGCCAAGAGTATGGCCATGTCTTCCCTCAGTCTTCACTTTTCCAAGCTAAAGACAATCATTCCCTTCAACTTTTCCAGATCCCCAATTTTTTCTTGCCCTCCCTGAAATTTTCTACATCTTTTTTGAAGTGTAGCAACCAGAACTGGACACAGTACTCCATACAAGATGTGACTAATGAGAAACAAAAATTCTTCAGATTGGATATGCTGTTTCTATACAATCTAAAAATCACATTAGTGCTTTTTTTTTTTTTTGCAGTCAGATCACACTACCAACTCATTATCAGCTTGTGATAAACAGCTCCCTGAGCACAGCAGTTACAGTTACAGACTCGGTTCAAATCCCCGCTCAGGCACGAAGCCACTGGCGATCATGGGCTGGTTTCTCTTTGTCAGACCCTCGCACCTCACAGGGCTGTTATGAGGATAGAACGAGGAAGGGAGAGGCAAGTATACCACCACCATGACTACGTTGAAAGGAGGACGGGATAAACATGTGACACATAGATCCTTTTCATACGTTGTTCTGTCAAACTAGGTATCCCCCCATCCTATACCAGTATGTGTAATCGCATCTGTCTTGCTGAATTCTGTTAGTTTCAGCCCAGCTTTCCAGCCTGTCAAGGTCATTTTGAGTTTGTGTCTGGGTGTCAGCTGACTCTCCCAGTTTTGTGCCATCTGCATATTAAATAAGGATTCTTTTTACCTCTTCACCCAAGAGACATTGATAAAAACGCTCAGGCCCAGGATACAGCTCTGTGGCACCCACTCAAGGACCCCCCAGTACAGTTCCCAACCAGCTATGAATCCTCTTGATGGTGCAATCATCAAGCCCACATTTAATAAAAACTGCACATTTAACAGAACCTGTTATTAGAACATTCAAATGGTTGCAGGATCCTAATCCCTGAGCAGCACCAGAGACATAGGGAACTGTCCTTTCACCTTCATGTCCCATACCGCATTTTACAAAAAAACTTTCTGCAAACACACAAAAAGCCTTCAGTACTAGAAACTCAGTATACAGGGGTTGCTTGGCAATGCAGCTGTCCTCCAAAAAGATATATAGCTCAAGCGTGCACAAGGTGGCAGAGGAGAGAGAGGATGGGTAAAACACCAGTTTGCTGCAGATAACAGGGATGGTACTCACTGCATAAGGCAGGCCTCGGTAGGTGTGCCTCTGGGAGGCCCCGTAGCTGTGACTCGAGTATACATTCTTCTCACCAACAGCTGGGCTAGCTTCCACAGACTCTGGGCTGCACAAAGGGCCAAGAGCAAAACCAATCAGTATAGGAAATAGCTCTTTTCAAATAATTAGCCAGGCCTCAATGTTTTCTCTCGTGCCGTATAGGACAGCAAAGAACAGAAATGCCTTAGGGCGGGGGGGGGAGGTATGGAACCCATGAAGGCAGGACTGCGAAAGAAGCTTGCTATGGCAGGTAGAAAAGGCGAACAGCTGGCAGCTGCCTATATAAGGGATACCTTGAATAAGCAGCTCGGCCAGCCTTGCTTCAGCATGAGATGGCAAGAGGAGAGAAGCTGCTGACAAGCTGGCAAAGCTATTTTAATAGAATTTAAGCTACCCACAGACTTGCACCACTGTGGCTCCCCTGATCACCACTACAATGCACTCTCTTTCTCGCCCCTGCTCATTCTGAGCAGTTGGAAGTTCACTGTGTCCATGGTTTCTGGCTTCAGCGTGAAAGGATCTTCCAGGCCACAACCAAACACCACTCCTCCAACGGTTATCTGTTACTTAATACAGACAAGAGCCTGGATACAGTTTCCTAGTGATGGACGCTCTTGGGAGCACTTGGCAAGAATGGTGGGATAGGCCATACATACTTCATGCAGTGAGGAGCTGCAAGAATATCTGTGACCTGGATGGGTGACAACTCTAGGCCAATCAACATATGCTGCCCTTCTTGCTTCCTTACAGGAGTATGCAGGGAAACGCCTGGCTACCCAGTCACTGATTGTGCAACTTTCCACCACAAGGTGGCAGGAAGAATCAATTCAAAGTGTGGTACAAAATGAGCAATTAGTGAAAAGCTGTGGGATTCCGGGACAGGAAAAGCTTTAAGTGATGAAGCCAAGGCCTGGATACCAGGAACAAAACATGCTCGTTTGGATTGGGGTGGGGTGGGAGAGGGAAGAGGAGCCTCTGCTGCAAGGACACAATTCCTGACATCCTTGGACTTTTACTCAGGAAATGAAGGTCTTCTCTGCAACAGCAGTCAACCTTCAAAGGCTGCAGTAGGAAGCAGATACAAGACAAGCACAACACAAAACCTGCCCACTTGAAATCCTGCCTCTCTTTGCACACTCACATTCTTAGCTACCCATCTGCTATGGTAAATTCAGGGAGAAACCTCTCCAAAGACAGCAGAATTGGAAGACTAGCAAGCACTCCACATATAAAGCTCTGCCTTGAACCTTTCGGTCTTTTTTCTTGACGCCTGACTGATAGAAGCAGCTTTCCCTTACCCCTTCCGCACTCACATGTACACCCTCACACTCCAAGTCCCCCGGAGCTTGCTCTTGAGAAAGAATATGCCTCAGCAGAGACCCTCCTCCCAAGTGCAGCTTCTGTTTGGTTAAGAAAGGCCGGGGGACCATGGCAGCACAGCAAGCAGTGATCAGCAAGCCCTTTATCTACCTTTCAAATTCATAAAGTGCGACAAAGCAGTACTAACACAGGTATCATTACAGTTGCATCTTCCCCCACGCTCTCAAGGACAGGAGGTGCAACAGCCTTCTCTGGGCTCCTTTTGCCATATGGCTGAGAAGGAAAGGCCACTGAAATCTGACAGTATCATTGTGACCCTGAAGGTTCCTGAAATGAAAGTGGATGAACCAGTGCAAAAACTATAGCCGAATTAACACCTGACCCAAATGGCAGAGAAAAATATGGGTATCCAGAACAGAACTGACCTCTGACATGAAACAGGCTGAAGGACACTGATTCTGCAGGGAGCTGAACATACCCCAGCTGCTTACACATCAACAAAGCCAAGCACTTTTACACCATGAAATCAGCCTGGGAGTTCTCTGCTCCATGTATCCAAATATACCAAAGATGCCAACAGAAAGATTATCCTGATATATACCAGAGCTTCACAAAAAACACTGCATAGGAAAGTCAGAATGCCTAAAATATAGAACAGGTGAGTCAGACCATGGGTCTGGCCTTAGTGCCCCACTCTTGTTAAAAAATTTTACTCAAAACAAGACCATGAACACAAAGCAAACACAACCCTCTTCCCATGACTTGACTTTGCCTGCTGATTAAATCAGCTCTGAGCGTTTCATCTGGGTATTTTTTTCTTTTTAAACTATGGGTCATGGTGCCAACCACAGGAAATTACCTGCCAACCAAGGGGGGGGAGGGGAGCAAAACTGATGAGTAAAAATCCACATAAGATTGTGATAGGGGAAAAGGTCTGATTCCAGAAAGAGCCTTTTTACCCACATCATGCAGCCATCAGTATTAGCACCATGAACCTTAAGCTACATAGGAGGAACACAAGAGCACTGCCAGGGCTTGTATTCTGCTACATGCCTATCAACTAAACAAACGTGCAAGATCAACAGGGAATTTTAAAGATCTTTGGGAAAGCAGCACTTTACACAAGTGCTTGTTTTTGGATGCAGTCTGAAGGAAGAGGCAGAGCTTCTCTTCTGTGTTCCATCATGATCTAATACGTATGAGGCACCCCTTTGTAGGTGTCTGATCTGCTGCAAAGCCAGCTATTTCCCTTCTACTAGCTGGAGTCTGCACCCCCGGATCCATGCCCTCCGTGCACTAACAGCCAAAGCAGCACTTACTCAGATCCAGCAGCCATATCTGAATAAGATGTATCTGGTGTGGTGACTCCCAGAGGGATTGCAATGCTCATGACGTTCGTCAGGGATCACGGAGTCCAAAGGGTAGCGACTAGCAGCTCCAAGGGCGGGGAGCAGCCGCAGAGCCTCGGCCAACACGTCACGGACATGGGGAAACCTGCCAAGGGGAAAAGAAGCAGTGCTTTGCGTTTCTGTTTACCATTGCCCCAGACATATGGTTTATTCTACACACCGTTCTAAACTCGAAAGAGCGCAAGCTAAATAAGGGAATAACTTCAGATGATGTATGTCGTCTCTTATCTCTGCATTACTCTTACATCGCCTCCTCTCAAACATGGCCACCTTCTTCACATGCAGAGGTTTCCTTGTGCCACAGAGAGACTGCTGAGCACAGGCGAGAGGCCTGCAGGCCTGTCTTGCAAGAGACAGTCACGTGGGCAGAACTGCCAGTAGGGGAGGCACAGCACAGTACTGCTGGGGGTGGAGGGGAGATGGACAATTTCAGAGCAGCAAAAGAGGAAGGAAATAAGAAAAAACGGGGGGGGGGGATTATTTGTTTCTGCAGTGATTATTACTGTTCTCATGACAATCCTGTTGATCAAGAATGGAACACATCTTCCAAACCCCACTTGGGACCAAAGATACATTTGAAAGGGTGATGAAAGGGCAACAGACTGGGGTAAGAAGGTTGCAGGTTGAACAACAATCGTAAGAGACCAAAGTTGCACCTCCACTGATATTTTGTACTCTGGAATCATTATACAACCTACAACATGCTTCACAACGGCCCTGGATGTGGTATGTGCATTTAAATTGCCTTTCTCAGAAAAACACAAAGCAGCAATTTATATACACATCCAGATTTGACACTGCGTATACTCTGGCATCAGTAACTAAGCACAATAAGTCCAAAGAGAAGCCGCCCTGACTCAGATGCCAAGTGAGATAAAAGAGAGCAGGGCCACAAAGGGAGTGTGGGTGGCAAGTCTTGTATTCAACCTGTTCTGTCCTGCCTCTACAAAGCTCAGAGGCCTTTGGAAAGGGATATACTCCATTCCTACCCTAATGAGGTTCATCTCCATCTTGTCAGTGCCTTGCAGATGCATCTAGGGCTGGGCAGGGACTCTGCCCTTTGGGAATAGCTTCACAGCTGCAGACCTCTGAACACAAACCTTTGAATGCCCATGGGAGCCACGCCTGCTTACAAGCTTGGGGGGTGGGTGGGGGAAGAGAGCAGTAAGAATCTGTAGATTAAAGCAGGTGGAGATAGCTCACAACCAAGTGTCGCTGGCCTTAAGAAGGCCCAATTATAGCCCCTGCACCACTGAAAGCTGTTTAGCCAATTCAATTATTCTTTCCCCATGCTAAAACACTAAATAGCCTTTCTGTTCCTACCACACAGAACAGCTGCTATCATTTTAGTAGCCTTTCAAGAACTTCTCCTTCCATAAACTACCCATATGCGGGGGATGGGGGAGGCTTTTCATGTAACTGGTTGGGAAAGAAAGAAGGAACAACCAGATGTTTTATTCTTTTTCATTTTGGCCAAGTCCCTTTGAATTTTCTTCCCAGTGTTCAGGGCCAGTCATGCCACTGATACGGCTAAGGATGAGAAAACAAGCCTTGCTGTTCTCTGTATCTGCTGGCAGAGGTGACGATAAATGCTGACAGCCTGGAACTTCAAATCCCATCTCACAGCAAGTAAGCCACGTCACACATCACTTCTCTGATAGGTCAGCCTAGAAAAGACTATTACTTGTTCGCTTCTAAAAGAGGGCGGGAAGATGGGGATCACATCATTCTATTGGGAGGAGTTGGGAATTCTCTCTTCAGCGTGTTTCTGCGCAGACTAGAGAGCCGTCTGCAGCCATAAAAGGAACACCCATGCTCAGAGGCTGTATTTTGTGCGCTGAACAACATTTCTTCTAAGGAAAGATGTAACTGGCACACTAGTGCTGGGGTGTGAGAATATCCACTCACTATGAGAGCATGTGATTACAGACTCTATCTCTCTGAAGGCCCACATTCTGTATAGAAATCCTCAGGACTGTTTAGCTGTAAATGTGAGCCACACTAGCATTCAGAATAATTTTTAATTCATTTATTTACTTGCAAAAACATGGTAATCCCAGGGATCCCTTTCAGGTTTGCCAGTACAAATGTGGATCCATACATGCACTTAGCAGAAGTTCAGAAATGTGGCCATGGCACAGAATGGCAAACCCCATTTTTTTTTTTTGAAAGTTAGTTCTTTCCCAGGGTTGGACACACAACAACAGAAAGTCCCACTGGTTTTGGCTCAGCAGCCTTGAATCATCTTGACAGGGAATAGGGAGGACTGAAAAGCCAAAGCAAGCATACAGAACTCCCATTCTCTTTGTCCAATCTAAGATTCTCTTCTGTAGAATGAGAAAGCAAGAATTTCCCTCCTTGATCCTTTAAAAAAAAACCACTTTATTTATACACCACCTTTCTCCCCAATGGGGATCTAAAGCAGCTTAGGTTGTTCTCCTCTCATCCCTTTTATCCGCCCAACAACCCTGTGAGGCATGTTAGGCTGAGAGTGTGTGACTGGCCTAAGGTCACCCAGCAAGATTCCATGGCAGAGTGGGAATCTGAACCTGTGTCTCACAGATCCTAATCTGAAACTCTTAACCACACTGGCTCTTTTTTTCCTGCCAATACCAGGCACCAACAATGTGCTAGACCCTATTACCCAAAGTAAAGTGGTTCTTGAGCAAACAGTACACAAATTCAGTGTGACAAAGGCAAGGGAGAGGAGACAGGCTGTGATTTAAAAAAAACAGCAGAGACCCAAAGCAGGTGAGGAGTTTTTTGGTTTATGGGGATAGAATTCTGAAGTGTAGGCGGAGCTTATAACCTATAGCAGCCAGGATTAG